CTCCGGGGGGGCTCCTCCTCCTCCCCCCTCTTTAGGCTATGGGGAGGGGGGGTGAACCTCCCCCCCCCCCCCTTTTCTTGCAGGCTGGGGGGGACGTTTCCTTTTCCCTGTGTCTGTTTCCTATTTCAGCCGCGGCGGAAGACCCCGTCCCTCAGTGAACGGAGAGGAGCGGGCAGGGGGAAGGACCACCCGCCCCCCCGCGCAGGGACCTCTGGCCCCCTCCCCACCTCACCTGGGAGGCTGAAGCTGACCCACGGATCAGGAGGGAGCCCAGCCTTCTCTCTGTGGCTGCCTGGGGGGGGGAGAAAGGCCGCTTGGGCAGCATCTCCTGCAGCAGGCAGGGCTCTTCCCTGGGGGGGAAGGCATGGGGGGGGCAGGCTCTCCTTGGCTCTTCTTCCTGCACTGACTCAGAACCTCCGTGGGGGTAACGCCCCCCCCCCCAGCAGGACCAGGAGTAACTCACCCCACTGCCGCCTTTCGGGATCTGTCCCAGGGGCCTGTCGGGTGCCGGGATTTACACCCACTCCAGGCCCTGAGAACACCCCCCCCCCAAAAAAAAAAATCAGCCAGGGAGCCTTCTGGAGCCATTACAGGTAGTCCTCGACTTACGACCCCAACGGAGCCCCCTACTTCCATTGGTAACCAAGACAGGCGTTAAGCGGATTTTGCCCCTTTCTCACTGCAGATGTTAAGTGAGTCACACGGTTATTAAGTGAATCTGCTTCTCCCCGTTGGTCAGAAGGTCACCAAAGCGGATCGCCTGGTACCATCCCGCTCTCCCCCCCCCAGGACACTGCGTCCGTCATAAATATGAGTCAGTTGCCAAGCCCTCTAAATTTGGGTCACATAACCATGGGGGATGCCACAACGGTCATAAGTGTGAAAAATGGCCACGTGCCTTTCTTCAGCGCCGTCGAACGGTCACTCAGTGAAGCGTTGGAAGTCAAGGACTACCTGTAGTTTTGGGGCCCAGCCCAGTGGCCCCTCCCAGACTGAGCAAGNCCCCGGGGGAGCCCCTCCCGGCGGTGGCTGCGGCTGCTGCTGACCAGGTGGAGGAAGTGCTGACCTTCAGCCCGGCCAGCTCTGCCCCCCTGAGCCAAGAGGCCGTGGTGGAGGCTGACATCGGAACTGCCCACTCGGCAGCCGTCACGGGTGAGAGGCCCAGCGGAGCCCTGGGGGGACCCTCCACACACGCAACGATTCGCTTAGGGACCGTTCCGAGTTCCGTCGGCACTTAGGAGCGTTTTTCACACTTTATGACGGTTGCAGCCTCCTGGTGGCCACGTGGTTTCTATTCGGAGGCTTGGCAGCTGACTCGTATTTACGACGGTCGCAATGTCCCGCAGTCACGTGATCCCCTTTTGCGACCTTCGGACCAGCAAAAGTCCATGGGGAGGTGGGATTCACTTAGCAACCGAGTTCCTCATTTAACAACTGCAGGGATTCACTTAAGAACAAGACAGGTCACTAAATGGGGCAGAACCCACTGGCAGACCTTTTATGGCCCAACTGGGGAGCATCACCAGTGCTGGAGGGGAGGGGGGTTTGTGGAGGAGGAGGAGGAGGAGGAAGGCTGTGGGGTCCTTGGGGCTCTCGGAGGTCGGATCTTTCAGTGCCCCCCCCTCTCCCCTCGGCCTCCTCCGCCATAACTTCCGAAAGAAGCCCAGGATGCTGGTCTTAGTAGTCCGCCACCTTCTCATGAGGCTGAGCCCCCGCGGAGCCCCCCGGAAGCCCCCACGGAAGGAGGCCCCACTCTGTCCCCTTCTCCACCCACAGCCTCCGGCCAGTGCTACACCGTCGGCAGCAACCAGCACGGGCAGCTGGGCCCCCTCCCCTCCCGGGCCAGCCGGGCCCCCTACCTGGTGGAGGGGCTGCAGGCCACCCGCGTCACCCTGGTGGGCTGCGGGGACGCCTTCACCGTGGCCGTGGGAGCAGGTGAGCTCTGAGACCCCCCCTCCCCTCACCTTCCAGCCTCCGGGCACCACTTGGTGGCTTTGGGGGGGCAGCCTGCCCACCGTGCCCCCCTCCGCAGATGGCGAGGTCTACACCTGGGGGAAGAGCGCCAGGGGCCGCCTGGGCAGGAAGGAGGAAGAGCCGAGGAGCCCCCGTCCCGTGCAGCTGGAAGAGGGGCCCCCCAGCCTGGTCGTCTCGGTCTCCTGTTGCCATGGCACTACCCTGCTGACGGCCAAGCGTGAGTAAGCTGGCAGCGGGAGCAGCTGCGGGTGGGGGGGGAGAGCCTGGGCATCAGCTGCCAGCTGGCAGGCAGTGTGGGAAGCAGCGGGGCCCCTCCCCCCTCCACACGGCCCTCCCCCCCCCTCGCCCTGGATGGCTGCCAAGGGGTTCGGCCCACGGGGGGGGGCAGGATCCCTTGGCCTCAAAGCTCCCCAAAGCCCCCCAGCAGAGGAAGGGGGCAGGGGTCTTCACACACACACACACTCCATGGGTCAAGCGCAGTGCCGGCACGAGGGACCTCGGGGTTGGATTTGGGGGTCCCCGGGGCTCTCTGGGGTGGGTGGGTTTCTTGCAGGCGTCTCATGACCCAGCTAAGGAACATCGTCAGTGCTGGGAGGGAGGGGAGTTTGGGGGGGGGCAGGAGGAGGAAGAAAAGGATTATGGGGTCCTT